TCGCGAAGAGGAGGAGGAGGAGGAGGAGGAGGAAAAGGAGGAGGAGGAGGAGAGGGAAAAAGCTGGGAAGGAAGAGGCGGTGGTGGAGCCCGAGAAGGCTGGGTTACGTGACGCCGGGTGCTGTCCTTCTGAAAGAGAAGGGCGGAGCTGAGATCTCCGCAGTACCATGGAGAGCGGCGAGCCCGTCTTCTGGCTGGGGACTAGGTGGGCTAGGCAGGCGGAAGCAGCCCCTCCAGGTCTGGATGCTGCGGAGCGAGGTGCTTCTACCTTGGCATCTTCCTTTGCAGGGGGAGCCCGGTCCTGGGGGCGGGGACCTGCCGCAAGCGCTTCTAACTTGTCACCACCCTCCCTCCCCCACCCGAGAGAGAGAGAGAGAGAGAGAGAGAGAGAGAGAGAGAGAGAGAGAGACCGACCAAGAGAACCACGTAGCTTACTGAGCATGCCCAGGCCCCTGTTAGACCCACGGAAAGCTTGTGGAGATTCCACTTCTCCGGGGTTCCGTCGTGATTGGGGCGGGGGTACCTGAGAGGGTGCCAGGACAGGGCTTGGCAGCCAAAGAGAAGGTGCCAAGGAGTGGATGAACCCTGGCTTTAATTGTGCACCTTGATCTCGTGCTTGGAACCCTTGAAAACCTAGCAGCTTTTCGAGGAATTCAGGGACAGACGGGACTCTCAAAGGCACTAGCGTTCTCCAAGATCCAGTGTTCCTGCCCCACCCCTTACTGTGGCCTTGGCCTTCGTGATCACACTAGATCATCTTCATCATCTGCCTAAGCGGTGCCAGAAAATATGTGAGAGAGACCCACCAGGCTTACGCGCCAACTTGGAGACCAGACTCCGGTGTCTGACAAGGTGCTTTTCGCTGCAACCTCCGGTGATCCTCCAGCTTTCTGTGCTCTTCCTTGGTCGTGGACATCCTGAGCTGAACCAAGTTCTCTACCTGTTTAACTCTTCCCTCTGTCTCCTTCCTTTTGCGGTCGGTAAAACCTGGAGAAAGTGAAACTCAGTGCGAGGCTTTCACTGTAAAACTGGGCATGCCCAGTAGGCATTGCTGGATCTGGAGAGAAAGGAGTTAACTCCAAGGGAGTTTGCAGATTAGAAGGTAGAGAGAAGTCTGGAGTCTATGGCTTTAAAATATGGTGTTGGTCCTATGGACATTTAAATTCCTATCCCTGTTATATTTCTACCGCCCGGTTAGTTTTGGAGCGGAAACAGCAGATGTTTTTATTTCCACATCACAAACCTAATGGCCTCAGTCTCAAATGCTATAAGCTAAGACAATTTTCTGCCTCCAGGCCCTAAAAAGCAAGAACGAAAAAACTGGACAAATTCAGGAGCACTGAAATAATATACATCCCAAATACAATATTCATTTCCTTCCAGAGAAATCAGAATTCATTACTCTGATAAGCCTATTTAAACTTGCACTACTTTTGTAAGAAACTAAATAGCCTGAAGGCAGGAACCACAGGTTTTTAATATTTTTATTGCCTTTAGGAAGACAGTTTGGTCAAGTGGTTACCTGTGTGGGAAATAGAATTAGATTGTCTACGCTTCAATTCCCATCTCCAACATTTATTATCTATGACCTTGACAACATCCTTAACTTTATGATGCCTCAATCACCTCATCTGTAAAATGGATATAATAGACCTGACTTCATGTAAAGATAAACTAATGAATACATAAAATATTTGGAACTATGTGTTCAGTAACGACTAGCTATATTTATTAGTTATTCCAAGCCCATTCTCTATTCTGTTTGACCAAGCATTTTTTGGAAACCCAGGTTCCTTGATGATCAAATAGGGGCACTGGTAATTGCCAGCTTGTTCCAGAGAATTATCTTGGATATGAAACAATAACTGTTAGCTACATTTTTTAAAGTACAAATAAAATTTTAAATAAAGTATAGCTATCTTAGAGCAATAATTCATCTAAAGTTATGCAGTCATTAAGTGAACATGAAACAAACACACAACGTCTACCTAACTCAGGGTTTTTGATTTTTGTTTTCTTTCAACTTTTCCTGTTATTTATCAGTAGGGTCTAGAGCAAATAGCATAGAAGCTACAGCCAGATGTGTCAATTGTAGAACCTAAGTTTATTGCAAAAATACGTGGAATGGACAGTGTATTTTCAGGAATCAAATCTAAAATGATTTCATGTGTACATTCAAGAGTGAATATTATAGTAGAGGCAGCAGAGTTTAAAGGCACTCTTAACAGTCAAAGCCATGCTTTTCACCTAGATTGTTAAAAACCTGCTATTGGCCCACTAGTATATCTGATCTGAACAATTGTGTAGTGTATTTCATTTTTCCTTTACAAACTTTGATCCTCAGCATGGCTACAGGATGTTTCTAATGTCATGGCTTTAAGCTTTTCTCTGTGCTTCTCTTATTTAAAAAAATCAACATTTTTATGCTTCATGCATAAATTTTAAAACAAAGAGTTCTCCATACTTACCTTCTCTCCAGATACATGCACACGAACTATAGGAACTGAGGGACTAGATTAAGTGTTGCAGTATATTCCTTCTGCAACTAATTATCAGATTTAAATTACCTATTGTGTCTAGTCTAAGGTATTCGAATGGTCACAAATGTTTTTCTTTTCCCGATAAATATATACAGGGAAAACTATCAATCTGTACTCAAAATGAAAAAAGATATTACATGGCTCAATGCCAAAAGTTCTAAATTTATTTTCAAGTATGAGTTCCTCTGTTTTTTCTATGTAAATTGCCTCAAATCTCTAAGCATAAATTTTCTCAATGATAAAATGAGGACAAAGGCATCCAGTTATAAGATATACTGAGGATAATTCCAATGTTGAATATTAAATGTGCGTCTACCCCATGCCAACCAGTGTTTTGAGTGCTTCATTTACACTAACTTATTTAATTTTCACAGCTCTAAGAGACAGTTTCTAGGATTTTACTCATTTCACCAGGGAGAAAAATAATACATAAACCAACCAAGATAATTAGAGTCATATACCTATTAAGTACAATTGTGAGGAATATACAAACTCAAGTCTGTGATCCTGATCACCTTGAGACATATTACGTCTCAGCAAATGATCAAATACACATACCAGGATCAGCAGAAGGCAAATGCTAGTAAATGTTAATTCCTTTTATTTCCTAAGAATATCATCAAGAAGAATTCAGGTAATGAACAAAATTTTGGAATGTTGTTATGGCATTCCTTAATGACTAAAATTATATGAAATATAAGGTAAAGTATTGTAAATATGTATAAAATATGAGTAACATAAATAAAAGATTCTACAAATATAAGAAATTTTATTATGCATTGTGTGTGAGGTGTGTTTAATGCAAATATCATTTTTTATTTGGAGAAATATATAAGATAAAATCCTTAGTATCTGAATTTTAGACAAATTAACATTTGTCAGAACAATCTAATACTTTTCCAGAAGGTGGGAACTAAGATTAATTCCTTCCAAATCACCTTAGGGAATCTACCAATTTTAGGCTACAGTAATGTGTGAAGGATTTTTAACTCCTGCCTCTTTCCCTGCTCAGAACAAATGAGATAATTGTGAAATCAAGGTGACTGTTTATGATTATGTCTGATTGGGAGAATTCCTGGCAACCCAAATATGAAAACATAAATAATATTCCGTGCCATAAATTGGAAAACATTTTTCAACAGTAAAAAATGATCACCAAAAAACATACCTCATTTCATAAGTTTTTATTAATGATCATACTAACTTGGAAACTCTATCTACACTAAAAATAAATTCATGAGAAATGAATGCACTGTGAGATGCTGTGTTTATTGCTGCAATCATAGCCTTGCTTTAACATTAGGAAATAAGTGTAAACATCCACTTTCTCAATTAACCTTGAGGCAAAGTAGAAGTTTTTTGATAAATTCCAAGATTGATATCAATTTGGAAGGAGGATTTACCTCTAATAATATAATTGATATAAAAAAGAAAAGGTGGGTGATTATCAGGGAAAATAGCAGTTGATATAAATTAAATGCCTTTTCACTAAAAATGAAAAACCACTTAAAAGAATAGCGAGATTTATCACTCCCCTGTGAGTTTATATTTGCTGTGATATAGATAGTCAAAATGAAGCCTTTTTTTAAAAAACTGAAATAATCACAGTATTAGGAAAAAATTACATGACATTTCAAATAAATTACAATTGATAGTGAATTAGCTAACTAATTACCTAGTTATTGCTGCATTATTAAAATACTATTGCTTAGTTTACAACTTCCTTTACTTTAACAATGAACATAATCCCTGATGTTTTATATGTGGTTAAATGTCTATCACTGGTTTCCTTTATATAAATCAACATTAGTTTTCTAGTTACAAAAGTTGATGAATAGCTGTTGAGCGTGCTGCGGTATAAACCTCATTTTTAAACACAACAACTAGAGGAATTTTAAAATGCAAATATCTGAAATTAAATCTGGGACTTTAGACTATAAACTAGCTATAAGCTGGAATAGGAGGATTTACATATAGGAAACCCCACATACTTTCCCGTGAACTAAGTTTCTTTCAGGAAAACTAAGCAAACTCAGTATGCTAAGTACTTTTGTACTACTTGAAAAAAAATATTCAGTAAAATTAGACTACTTTCACATGAGTGTTTAATTTTTCAGTAATTAGAAGGTAGAATGTGATTTTTAAAAGGCTACAAATCACTGCTTTAATAAGTTATCAATCTACAGTAGAGAAAGCACATGGATAAGTACTTGAGAATAGAGATTCAGTTCTTGATGCACCTGCTGGAGAGACTTTGATGTGGGAACCCTGCAGGGTGTTTAATGGGCAATGTTTTAAATCTAGGGCAGTGTTGATACCTATGCATATTCTGCCATGCCTGTTCCCATCCCTCTTCTCCCCACAGTGTCAGAAACCTTTCTGATAGGAATAGCAGATGCTAAACTAAATTTATAAGAAGTCCCTGCCAGGGGGTTATCTTTCTCACTCAATTAATTGCACAATTGAGCCCATCATTGTTACTTCTTTAATGATTTATTTATCCTTCTATTGATACAATTTTCTTAACTACCCCTACCCCCAACCTCACTTCACACTCAAGCCTTGTTATTTGTGACTGCCAAATTCCAGAAACAAAATTTTTCATGTTTTAGACTTTGGCTTTGTACTTATTTTCATTGGATCCAGAAAATCAGTTAACTTGTTTAGCTTAACCAGTTCTATTTGATTTACCTTACGTGAATGTTAAGAGCAAGGGATTTATGCTAAACTTATAGATGCCAGTGTATCTTATAGATGCTCTATTGTATCTTTATTTCAGCCTGTTTCTGCTACTAGAATCTGTGGAATCAATTCTCTGTGCCAGCATCTTGAAATATCTTGTGGTTAGCTTTATAAACACAGCCTGTGTGATATTATATCGAATCCATAAGTTTGGCTCTGTTTGTTTGTTTTCATTTCTATCACTTCTCTAGCTACTATCTCTCTCCTTTTACATAGTTTTAAGTCTTGTTCTTTCTAGGCTCTCTTCTTTTCCTCTTATTTTTATGTTTGCCTTTCCAATCCACTTTTTCCTATATAATATACTTTTTCACAAACATACACACACAAATACACATAACTGAGTATCTTTTTAATGTAATTTTTAATTATTACAGCAGAATGCATTACAATTCTTATCACACATATCAAGCACAATTTTTCATATCTCTGGTTGTATACATAGTATATTCACACCAATTCGTGTCTTCATACCTTTATTTTGGATAGTGATGATCATCACATTCCACCATCATTAATTACCCATACCTCTCCCTTCCCCTCCAACCCCTCTACGCTATCTAGAGTTCATCTATTCCTCCCATGCTCCTGCTCCCTATGAATATCCTGATAATAAAGAAAATGGTAGATATTCCCATTGGAATTTCATAAATTAGAGCAATGGTATCCTCCCTTTATGTATATAAAAAAGCCAGACTTTTGAAGTTACTTGAGAAGCAGAATAGAGAAGAGTTTTATTTTAATAA